CTAAATGTTCAAATCTCTGAACTCATTTTTTTCCAGACTGCTCATCTATTTTTGTTGTTATTGTTGTTGTTTGAAAGTTTTATATATTCATATAATTAGAAAATTCCCAATCTTGGGTCTGGGGAGATAGGTCAGCAGTTAAAAGCATTGTCTGTTCTTTCAAATCACTGTACCCACATGTTGGCGAACAACGGTCCATAACTACAGTTCCAGGGGATCCAACACCCTCTTCTAACCTCCATGGGCATTGCACAACATGGGCATACTTACATACGTGCAGGCAATACATTCATACACATAAAATTAAAATAATATTTTTATTTTTAAAACAAATTATTTACCCATGAAATAGATGATCCTGATCTCCATTTCACTAGCTGGTGAGAGGCAGAGGTTTCTTATTTTTTCATTCCTGTACAGGGCAGTTTGCACCAAAGAAGAACCTTGGCCTCTTCTGATGGAATCTGCTGTTCCTGAGTAACAACCAGGTCTCCTTCACCTAGCTTTTTCCCTGAGAGTAGAAGACAGAACAGAAATTCTTTTCTGTGTGCTTTTGTCTTCCAGATTTCCCTCTTCCTATGGGCTCAGAAGCAACAAGGGCCCTCCAAGATGAGACAAAGGTGAGCTCTGCTTCTTTGGTTCCCAAGAACAGGAACGGGGAGAGAGTTAGCATCTCTCCAGGGTCTTTATTCTGGGAGGTGGGGAACAGAGGGAACATGCTTGGAAACACCATAATCATGGAAGTTGAGTCACCAAGTGTGTGTAGCTCATTGGGTTTCTCCCCCCACCAGCATTCTTTCCAATTTATACACTAATTTATAAGTCTCTTTGAGACCATTAAATGTATGAGGAGGCCTTGGCTCAACCTCAGGTTCATTTTATGCCACTGTGCACATTCTTTCCATGGCGATATCCAGGACATAAATCCTGCCTCCCTCACACCATGACCCCATGATGCATTCTCTCTGTCAATCTCCTACATTGTACCTCCACTGTGATAAGTTTGAGCCCACTGCCATTGAAGGCACTAAAGATTGTAAATCACTCACCAATGTTCATAAGAAATTCCAATCTTGACATTGGGATACAAACACCTGAATGACTAGGACTCAGCATGTACGGCAGAGCGCATAGAGTTCGATGGGGGGACTTGGGGAGGCATGGATGGGGGAGGGGGTCTGGATTTGAGTGGAAAATGTATGAAATTTTAAAAGTTCTATTTTTTCCAAAAAAATCTAAGTATTAAAAAAGAAATTCCCATCTTGAAAAAGACTAGAAACACCAAAAAGAAGAAAAAGAGAAACAACAAAAAGAAAAATAAAAGAAGGAAATTCCCACCTTGAAAGACATTTCCCAACCTTTACTCTGTGTAACTTAATAACAATCAAATTTTGTGATTAGTAGAATAGAGATATTTATTCTAATAAGGAATTGATGGGAGACTGGGGAATACACAGTATATATTACAGTTATATAGGTATTGATGGTAGTATCTGTGTCAAACATGGAGGATACTTTTTTTTTTAAGATTTATTAGTCAGTGAGTGTGTGAGTGTACGTGCATGCGTGCGTGTGTGCATGTGTGTGTGCCTGTCCATGGAAGCCAGAAGAGGGAGTCAGATCCTCTGGGGCTGGAGTTACAGGCAGTTGTAATCCTCCTGACATGGATGCTGGGAACTAAACTTGAGTCCTCTAGAAGAATAGCAAGCATTCCTTACCACTGAGCCGTCTCTCCAGTCCAGACATGGAGGATTTGAAGCCTGTTCTCTGAAATCCTGGTCTGGTGCTCTGTACTCCATCTCCCATCCCTCCTACCAGTAGTAATGGCCAAAGGACCTGGAGGAAGGTGACAGAAGCACTGTTCTGTGTCTCATCTTCAGGCCTTATGCACCAAGAATATAAAGCAGTGCTGGATGCTTTCCTACTTCAAGCCCAGTGAGCCTATATGTGGCAGTGACCAAGTTACCTACAGTGGTGAGTGCCATCTCTGCTCCAAAATTCTGTAAGTTGTGATTTTATTATCCCTTATCTCAAGCTAATGGCTAATGGCAACCTCTACCCAATTTCATTAGCTCTTCCCTCCAAACACTCCTCTGCTGTTTGCTCCTCTGTTTCTTCCATTCCTCTTCCTGCTTCCAAAAATTGTATGTGATCCTGTTCAAGCAACAAAAAAACAGAAAGCCACTGAGATGAGAGTGCGATGCCTGGCATGGACAATGGACAAGTGGAAAGAACTCAGCAGCACATAGTCACAGCCTTCAGACCATGTGACCGTGGACCAGTTGTCTCACCAGGCCGAAGAAGAAGAGGAAGAAGAGGAGGAAGAGGAAGAAGAAGAAGAAGGGGAAGGGGAAGAAGAAGGGGAAGGAGGAGGAGGAGGAGGAGGAGGAG